GGGGTCTGCGGCGGAGACCTAAACGCACCTCATGTCACGCCATGGACCGACAGCTGGGGCTTCACAGCACCGCACCAACCGACCGTCATGGTTTCTATCGGTTTTTATAACTTTTTCCTCGTTCACCGACATTTTTGTTGCTGTGGCCGCTTTGGCGTTTCGCTAAAATAGAAAGACGTATATTTATTGAAAGGTGCTCACCTATAGGCTGTCTGGACCGGAGGAAGCGGCTGCTGCTCGTCTCAAATACATTATGAGCGGTGTGTGTGTGTGTGTGTGTGTGTGTCGCACAAAAGGCTGAGCGTTGGCGTGGCGGGGCGTGGCGGGGGCGCTCTGCAGCAGCCTGCGGGGCCACTTTGGGGCACGAGCCCACCAATCTTTGTCAATCCGCGATCCCTTTTTATTATCATTCTCTCTCTCGCTCTGCCCGATACAACTTTGTGTGCAGCTTCTCGACTCGGGGCGGAGAGGACCCCGCAAGCAGCAGCCGGGCTTTTATACGTTGTAGACAAGAGGAGGACCAGGGGGGAGGGGAGGACTTTGAGGAGACGGAGAAGGTTTTTGAGGTTTCCCCTTGTGGACAATGAGGTCCCCGCTGAGGTGGGCAGCAGCTCCTCCGCCGCGGCCCTCGTGTTCGCACTCGCACGCCTCCTTTGTGCGTTATACGGGAGATTAAAGAGTCGCCAGCGAGCACCTTTAATAGACTCTCGATGCCCTGTGTAAATCAGATTACAGGCCGTGCCCCCTCCTCTTCCCCAATCCTCTGGTCAAGGGGATAATAGCCACTCCATGAGCTGTAGCACACCCAGCTCGAGAGTGAGTTACTGGTACCTGTCGTATGGTGTATATTGTCACCCCCTCTCCGGATACCCATTTTTTACGCAATCACGTCGTAAACCCTATGATGTCGTCGTTCATGAAATATATTCATTGCTTGAAACGATTAACGCCTCTACGAGACCTGTACCATTTTTCCAAACTTTTTGAAACTATTTTTTTTTTTTTGGCCAAGTAGGTCGTTGTCAGTGAAGTTGTGAATCAATGGATCCCCCCCCCCCTCCCCTCCTCTCACACTTACACACACATCTCTCTCTCTCTCTCTCTCTCTCTCTCTCTCTCTCTCTCTCTCTCTCTCTCTCTCCCGGCGGCTGTCGCGCCCCGTGCAAAGGCCCCTGACACTGCCCCTCCCCCTCCCCCCATCGGCCCTCCTGCGGTGATATTACTGGCCGCTGATACAGTCGCTGCGAAGCTCAGCTGTACACTGGGTGCAGTTGCTGCTGTAGCAGCACTGAGCGTACTCTCAAAAAAAATGTGAAGCACAAATAAAAATGACTGTTGAGCGAATTCCATGTGTGAAACAGATTTGATCTTGTCGGTTATTATTTTCGTTCCGCTTCCGCCGTTGCCACCTCAAGCGCTCGCCTCTCTTTTGAATCGTATCGCACTCAACACTTGTAGCCGTCATTACCTCACGTTTAACGCTGTAATGGCTTCTTGATACTGCAGCGGCGGGCCCTCCTGCAGCCGCAGCTGTGCTCGACCAAATCACAAAAAGAGAAATATAATAATAATAAAAATCGACTAAAGTCCGTGCGCACTGACAGCCGCTACCTACCCGTGATATATCGTTTGGCCTGGCGTAGCGTAACGAGTAGATGGGCAAAGCTGGGCCCTTCAGCAACGCGACAAGACCTGTCCTCAGCCAAAAACTCACAAAAACTCAACTTAGAAAAATGTCCGGAAGCCAGTTACACTGATAAATTATCGTAAAACTGGCGTGCACATACAAGTACTGCTGAACACTAAATACGTTGCACTCTTTTAATTGTTTGACTGGATATTCGAAAACTGAAACAGTAAAGTTAAACACTTACAATGTGAAAAATACCGTCGTAAATTTACAAAAAAAATGTAAACTCGAATTATAATTTAAGTAGGAAATTTATGAGCGCACACTTTTTACTCGCCAATTCATTTTAAGACGATACGTACGTACTGCATGTCGTTTTACGATTACAAATTGTTATTTTACATCTTCGTGTAAAGGAAAATTTTCCTGTAAACATTCCTACTATTATTGTTAAAATTATTCAACGGTAGGGTTGAACATTGCAGCTTTGAGCAATTTAATTTGTTCACATTTACAGTAGATCACTTGAAAGTATTTATGTTTTTCGTCAAACACCTCAACGTGTGCGGCATGGCATGGAACACTACCATGTGCATGCCAGTTGCACGACTTTTGTTTATCAGTGTGCGTTTATCCGAGTGTAACAAGTTTCAATTTCAGCCAGGTGTAGGGTTACTGTGCTCCCATTTGACGGTGTACGCCGCCCCGCCGTCGCGCCCTAGCTCTCTGTATTAAGAAGTAAAATGATTTATGTGTTGAGAGTCTGTTGGAAGTGCTCACCGCACGCCGGGCTCCAGAGGCTGGTCGGTCCGCCCGGCCCGGAGCAGTCGGACAGGGCGGTACAGGGGAAAAGAGGAGAATCGGCCAGGTACCTCCTCCGCCTCCTCGGACCAACTACCAGTGAATTCAATATTTAAAAATAGTTTAAAAGCAGTACAAACCAAATTCAGCATAAAATCACTGCTGTAATGTTGTAGTTGAAAAAAACAAAAACAAAAAACAACCAACCTTGATCAGCATGTTTTCCGTTTCTCCCTTCTCATACGGGGTTGGAAAAAAGAGGGGCATCCCTCCCAGGTGTGATGCCGTTTTTCATCCAGCGGCACTGACGTCTCGCAGCATCGCGGCGGCTACTTGTGTACCTTAGGCACGTAATATCGACGCGGTCCCGAAGTATGAGCAGAGAGAGAGAGAGAGAGGGGGAGAAAGAGAGAGAGAGAGGAAGAGAATAAATGATACGAGTGGGAATATAAAAAAATAAATAAACAAACTTCAGAAACGTATATCTGAATAATGTTTTATTATTGTCGCCCGATGTGGATCAGAGAGGAGTGCCGCGGTCCAGGCTCGCTCCAGCGGCAGCCTCCTGCGGCAGCAGACGTGCGTGTGAATACCGTCCCGGGGCATAACTTACACGGTACAGTCCCTGCAGCCAGGAGCAGCGACGTCTCACTCGACGCGAACAACTTGTAAGGGGGGCCCGCCCTCCTACCCTTCGGACGCCAATAAAAATACTAATGTATGTAACAGGTCCCCCCTCCCCTCTCCAGTGGCGCGGGCTCGGCGGGGCGCCAGGGGTCGGGGCCGCGCGCGGCGGGCAATGCTGTGCCCGGTAGCAGGGCATCTGGAACACGCTCGTCTACACGGCGACATGCAGGCGGAAAAGCAACACGATCGTCCCGGCCGGGCGCTCGGCTCGGAGATGGTACATATATAATAATAATAACTTTAGATACCTAATGTGGTGATGAATATATACGTGGTAGTGCTGCCGTGCGGATCTGCTTCTTGAGGACACTTTGGTTATTTACAAGACAGAGGAAGGAGGAATACAACCATCAAAGCTTAGGCTAGCGATGAACCACTCAACTGACAACGGACAAATTTAGAAAGTGGATGACAAGTCCTGTTTCCTCGTGATAAGTAAGAGCTTTCAAATAAGCTGTTCTCTACCATCCCTTCTTATACCTTTATTTAAAAAAAACATGAGTACTTCAAGTTGCGTCTTATAGGACAATAATATTCTTTGCTTCGACTCTTGCATGCAGTATGGCGCTGTTTCCAACGCAACTTTACTTTTGGTATAAAACTTAACTACTTGGAGAATAAATTCTTTTTTCTGAGTTTCACGCTTGACCGCGAAATACTTTTCTCTCAGGTAGGAGAAAGGAGGGGAGGGGTTTGGGGGTGCTCCCCAAATATAGGAGAGAAAACGACCACAGTGTTACAAACCAAACGCCGTAGACTCTGTAAGTAGTAATACCGCCAAAGAGTCGTAATCGTAAATTTACGAATCGCACGAGCAACTCGCAACGCATATCGTAACGGTAGGCAATGTCGTTTATGCCTGCAGCGTGACCCGCCGCGGCTGGCCATAACTTTGCGACGGTTTGCTCTTTTCCCAGAGAGAGAGAGAGAGAGAGAGAGAGAGAGAAGGACCGAGGAGAGAGATACAAGTGCTGGTAGCACCAGGACCTCCTCCTCTTCCCACGACGTGAGAAAAATCTCATCCTTCTCTTTCTTTCTGCAAATAATAAAAAGTTTGTTGTTTTTTATTCTTCCCACTGTCAAATCTGTGGCGATGGTGGTAGCAGTGGTGGAAGGTTTGGTACAGTAAGCCGCGACCCGTTGACTCGGCGTGGCCGGCAGGCGTGGCGGGCCCCGCCTGCCACCCCTCCGAGAGCCGCTCGCCCATTGGTGCTCAGCCGCGGGGAACGGCGCGGCGACACGGCTGCGGCAGCTACAAGTTGCCCGTCCCGTCGCGTCTCGCCGCCGTGGCCAGGGGGCGTCCGTAAAGGACGTGAAGGTTTGTGCAGTTATGTCGTCATTTTTGCTGTTGTTATTGATTCAATAAGACAGGGTGACGCATATTTCTAAAGTGTTAAGATGGAGGGTTTCAAAAGACGGTCGATATTAAAGCATAAGGCTGGGGGTGTCGTGAGCGCCTGGTGTGATGTGTTTGAACCTCCCGCGTGTGAGCCGCAGTTGAATCCCGTCGGGGTCGGCCGGGGCCGGGCCGGCGGGGGGTCAGTGCCAGTGTCCTGCCTGCGGCCGGCGGGCCCGCGGGGTCCTATCGAGTGTGCATCCGCGCCGCCCGGTCGCCGCCGCCCGGCCCTGCAGCCGGCTGCTCCTGCAGGTCCCTGCAGTTCCCTGCAGCGGCCGCCCTGCTGTGTCCCGCAGGGGCGTCCCGCGGGGCGCCCCGGTCGTGAGTCTCTTTAATTAGCCACGCCGGGACGTCCGACCTGTCACGACGCCGTCCTCGCCGGTCACGTCGCCGCCGACGTCGTGAAAGACCTGCAACAAAAGCTGCCACCGCTGCTGCTGCTGACCGCTTTGCTCATGCATACCCTTGTGCTCCATGTTTCTCCAGGTCGCCGTCGGGTCCGTGTCCGTGGGGTCGGTCGCGTCCAGGAAGCGGCGGTGGAGCGAGGTGGAGGAGGAGACGACGGCGGCCTCCAACGCCTCGAGCCCGAGCCCGAGCCCGCTGCCCGCGCGGGCGACCACGGCCGAGCCGGCGCTGCCCTCGCAGTCGCAGGTGAGCTATTGCCCTCAGGTGAGGGTGGTTATAGGGAAAATAGAACAACGGCAGTACGAGAAACTTCGCGCACGAAAAGAAGAATTAGGTAATGCGTTTGCTAATGTGGCCTTAGCTCATGAGCACAAGCTCGCATGGTGACCTGAATGGGGCGACCTGGCGTTGGCCCCCCGTGGTGACGTGGGAGCGCCCCTGGGCCCTTTCGAGTGAGCCCTTCGGGGGGTCCTGGCTGGGCCCTTAGGAGGTCCTCACGGGCCGGCCCTGCTCTAAACGCCCCTCGCCCCGTTCACACGTCGGCGTCCTTTGTCCAGCTGGCCAGTGTGTGCGAAGCCACACCTTCACATAGGTGTGAATGAACCACCAAGCTTTACTATTCATTTTCCTTTACTAGATTTTATTTTACGGGATAAAATTATGTAACTAGTTTGTTGAAGATCGTTCACGAAATAATGCAAGTTGACGCTCTACAACCCAAAAATTACAATTCAAAAAGATATACAAAATTCCACGGGTCAAATTCTTCACGTTGCTTCTCCATTTACAACTCTGGGCTAAATCTGGAGCGGCCTGCAAAAAGTACCCCAAAACTCGTGCTCAGTCTGTAGCAGCAGTGGGTTCACTGTCCATTTTATGGTCTTCTCGGGTTCGGTTGGGTGTTGGGCGTGGTTGATCTGACCGGTGGCGGTCGTTCGGTTTGCAGTCCGAGTCCGGGCAGCGGGTGTGCGCCGAGTGCGTGCAGAGGATCACGGACCAGTGGGTGCTGCAGGTGTCGGAGCGCTGGTGGCACGTCAGGTGCCTGCGCTGCTCCGTGTGCCGTGTCGCCCTGGACCAGGACCCCAGCTGTTTCATGAGAGACGACCAGCTCTACTGCAGAGCCGACTACGCCAAGTAAGTTAAAATAACGCCTTCTCAAATATTTTCCTTGGGGAAGACTGCAGCGGTGTGTAAGGCACTCGCCTAGAAAACTGTGCTCTTGGTTCCACAGTTGCTTTTAAACGTACGAGGACATTTTACTTATTCATAACATTGTAAAAGTCTTAAATATCCTCAAATCAAGAACAGGAGTCGTTTGGGTGTAGTTTTGGTCGGTCTGCCATAAGTTTGTAATTTTCATGTATGATTTCGCCTCGGATTTCGCGGTGCTAGAAAACACACAACATTTTTTCCCCTAACGTGTCAGATCCGCCCCTGCGGCTCGGCTGTCCCGCCGCCACGGAGCGGCCACAGAGGCATTTCCCCCCTTCTTTCCTTTCTGCTTTGTCATACACACCTCGGAGGAGGAGGAAGGGGCATACGCAACATAATAAATCCCCGAGTTCGGATGACAGGTGTCGCGCGGGGAACCCTTCCCTTTTCCTCTCCGGTATTGACCATCGGGAAGGAATGGCGTGGCGTGGCGTGGCGTGGCGCGCTGCCGCGGCGCGGCGGTGTAGGTAGAGGAGGACGCGCTTTTCATATCCGACAGGATTTGTGGGTCCCGATCCCCAAGTGTGCAGGACAACCTCCACACGACGGTCGCGCCTCACATTCGGTACGGTGCCGCTTGCTATGCTCGGGGGAAGCACGGGGGGCTCTACTATATCAAAACGGTCCCACGCGTATCATTAAAATTTAGCAAAAGCTTCCCGACTTATGTATTTCCTTTCATATGCCGAAGACAAAGGTGAAAGGTGAGACCTGATTACTGAGACGCTCTGTTTAGCTTCACGGGAGATGAATCATGAAAAACTGGGTTTCACTTTACCGCTGATAATCTTAAATGTTACTGAAATTAAGGTATTTTATGACCCGAAATGAACCAAGTGCTTGTCGTGCCCTCATGTGTATTCTTCATTTTCTGCGTGTCGTGTGCTTTTTGTTTTTCTTCGAGTGACCAAAGAGCAATATCGCGTAGGTCGTTACTTTTTGCACCACTTTGTTGTCGGGACGCCATAAAGGGCTGTGTTGGTTTTGTTTTGCCGGGCTCCGCGCGTCGCTGACATCGCCCTGCCGCGCTCACAGTGCCGCGGGGGCGGGGCGCGGGGGCGGGGCGCGGGGGCGGGGCGCGGGGGCGGGGCCGTATGCAGCAGGCAGGGGTGCCGCCCCCGGGCTCTGCCCCCGGGCCCTGCCCCCGGGCGGGTGTGTCTCCGGAAGGCTGATAAATGGAGTCACGCTGACGCAACAGGTGCTGTGCTGGGTGCGTTTGTTTGGCTGCCGCCGCCGCTGCTGTATGGGTTCGAACCTCGACGATTCGAACACCTCACGAACGATCCCCCTTTTCTCTCGCTCCCACTGTCGTGTCGTGGTCGTGCCCCGTCGTCCGGTCCCGCACCGCCGTGGCACCCGGCGGGGTTGCATCCTGTGTGCATCTGTGTGCGTGCGTGCGTGTGCGTGTCCGTGCGTGTACGTGCGTGTGTGTGTATGTAGGTGTGTGTGTGTGTGTGTGTGTGTGTGTGTGTTGTTTCAGGGCAGGCAGACGCCTAGTCAGCATGGCATAAAAATCCATATATTTCTCTATATATCTCTCATACATTTGTAACGTATGAATGAAGTATAGGACTCACAGTTTTCATCTTTCATCTACAGACTCTTTTATTTTTCTCTTTTCGACTGTATGTACATATTTTTTTTCTCCCGTAGGATGAATGTGTATTTGATTGGGTGCGAGTGCGTGTTAACAGGTATACGGTAAGCGCGGAGCAGAGTCGAGATGAGATAGGTCGCGGTGGAAGTGATATTGATTCCCACTAACGACGGGCGGGCAGGCGGGCCCGCGGGCGGGCCGTTGGGGGTGGGTGGACATGATTTACAGGCGGCAGACTTATTTGTTTACAGAAATAAACAATTTGGGGCGCCGCAGGGGCTGCCGGGGCGTGGCGCTGCTAGTGGTGCCGGCCACAGGCCCGACCCGACGCAACTCCCCGAGTTCATTATTTTTTAATTAAGACTTGTACCGTCCCGGCCGTTCCTGTTTGCTGCTGCAGCACGGCCCTGGCTGCTGCACTATAGAGCCGCTGCCGCTGCTGCTGCTGCTGCTGCTGCTGCTGCTGCTGCTGCTGCTCGCCGTGTAAATCATGTCCTCACATAAACATGGGATGGATAGTCGTTTTTGGCCGACAGTGAAAGTCAATGCGGCTGCAGTTGCGAGCTTTGCACTGCACAGCTGCACTTTGTTGCGCGCTGTGTGGGTATAGGGCAGGCGAGGAGGAAAGGGCGGGTGGG